ACCAAACCTAAACCAAACCTAAACCAAACTTTAGTACACCAGTACTCAGACCTAGTCAGTTTTCCAGAGGAATTTGCAGGATTAGCCAGGATTGGGTATTGTGATGTCCAATTGGCCTTGAGACAAAGTTAAAATTGAAGCCACTCCTCTGCTCCTTGCTTCTGGTTCCCAGTTTCAACTCTGTCTGGCCGAAGAATGATGAGTTGCTTTTGGTTCCTGAAAATCCAAAAAACAATCCAGTGCCATCCTGCATTATCCTCCTCCCTGCCTTCCCCCTTTTGCCTCCATCTGCTTCCTGGAAGCCCTCCCTTGGCGTGGCTGGCTCCTGGCCGCCGGTAAGGGTTTTAAACTCGTTGTTGGGGCTTTTTAGAGGACGCCATTACGGTGGCCATTTTGGGCCTCGTGTTGTGGAGAACCGCATGGGCTGGGGCAGAGGCTGCTATGGGGTCTTGATCTCATCTTTACCATCTGGGGGGCAGTCCCTTCCACAGCAGGCCCAAAGTGAGGCCAAGAGGCCCGGAGCGGTGCGGGATGATGGGGATCATGCGCACTGTGCTACGTTGTGCTGCCAGCAGCCGCACGGCTTATAAAGGGGCCCAGAAAGGTCTACCAGTGGCTGCAATCATTGTCTGGAGGCCATGAGTGACTGGGGAAAGCTGGCTTGTGCTGCTGGTCAGGTGGGCTGAGCCTGAGAAGCTCCTGACCCTGAATCATGGCAGATGGTGTGGAGAGGCCTGATTCTCCCCCCCCCCCAATTGTCTCCTGAGGAGGGAACTTCCAGTGGGATCTGGGAAAGGCCCACAGCTTCTGTAAGGCTGCGAAAGACCATGGCTGATGGGAAGCCTTCCAAGGCTTTACAGAGAGATGAAGAAAGGAGCACAGGGCCCTGGAAAAGCAGGTGTTCAGGGCTGAACAGAGGGGTAGGCCTAGTTCTCCCCTGAGGTCCAGATCGCCCATTAGATCTAGGTCTAAGTCACTTCCAAGGGGGAATTCCCCAATATATCTCAGGGAATGTGCAGGGGATATTTCCCCTCCCCCTCCCATGGTAGACCAGGGCCCCAATCTAAGGGATTCTTTTCAATGCAGCAGGCCCAGGGGGGATAGTCCCACTAGGCCATCCTTGGCTCCACAGCCTGATGACTGTGCACAGGTGGGGGAGGAGGATTCCTTCATTAGAGGCATGGAGCAGCTTCCTGCAAGCATTCAGAGGTTTTTCTCCATAGTGAGGGGGGAGGAGTATCCAGAATGGGTTGACTTTGTCCTCTCATGATTGGATGAGTCAGATAAGCTCTTTGGGCAATGCCCCCTGGCCAGTAGGACTACCCATTATTCTGACTCATCATCCTCAGGAAAGGATGCACCACTCTGGACCTCCAGTAATTTACAAAGGATTAAGGAAAATAAACTTGGACCCGGAGAATCCTGCCTCCCTTCATCGCTCGCAGCCCCCTCCTGCAAGGACTGGACTGCCACAAGCCCCCTGGGGCGGCACGCTGCCATGGCCAGTGAGTGAGACGGAGTCACTCAGGGAGGACCCTTGCCAGGCAGGCAGGAGGAGAGGGCATATAT